TAAAGAGCATTTTAGAGCTCATAATGGAAACTGATCTGACGACAGAAGAACTCCAAGAACTCTCAAATGAAGAATACCAAGAAACTCAGCGAGATGTGTTTTCTTTTGAAAAAGAGGAAGATGAAAGAGGACCATGTCGACATCTGCTACTAAAGATCTTTTGAAGAAGTGGGAGGATGTCAGAACAACGATCATCCAAAGTGGCCTCCAAACCAGAATAAGGTTAATGGGGTTGGGAATAAAAGCCTGGAGTTTGGAGCTCAATCTGAAATTGCAAGTGAAGAAAGGCTTTTTCTCTATAATCTCTAATCTAATGTATACAAGCTGCTGCAAGTTGCTAATAGACCTGCTTGAGCTTAGCCTGTGAAAAATGTTTTATGCCATGTGATATAATTAAGATATGCTTGAACAACATCTTAAATACTTTTTCCAGCAACACTGTAGTTTTATATAGTGTTGCTGGAAAAAGTATTAAACAATTTAAACAAATGTTTTTAACCCTTTTCATTGGTTTGTATCAGGTTTAATGTATAAACTAGATTTTGTAAAGTACTATATTATTTTTCCGACTTTCCAACGATTATCGACACTACTGTGTGCCGGAAATAGCCGTTCCCTAACGGGTACTTTACGCGGATTCGCGTTAGTGTGCCAGGCCTGGACTTTAAGCGTGCACCGAATTAAATAATGACAAAGTTTGTCAATAACAAAATCAAATATTTAATTAAACTTCTAGTAATAAACTATATACAGTATTTAGTAAAAATCAAACAATAATTTATTCAATGAAATTCAACAAGAATCAATCCGACAAACTCAAATCAATCTATTTCTAACTTAATTCTATTCCCCTTTGGAATTCGACAAAATCAAAGAATTAACTTATAAACAATAATTCTTATAAATTAAAGATCCTAATCGTCACCTCAATATACTAGGAACCTATTTCCTCAAACTCTCAAGACTTTCTATAATCGTCGATCCACAAATCGAATAACTTCAAAATCCTATCGGACACCTCTCTCGTTCACTGCTACGAAGCTCACCAAAGCTCGTTGCTATCAGGAATTCACCTCGTTCGTTTTCACTTGAGTTAGAGGCTTTATAGTGTGAGGTGACGTCACAATTCTGAATGAGCTCACTCTCCTCATTTACATACTTATCTGTAACATTAAATTTTTCTTGTTTATCTGGCAGATTATTTTCCGACAATACTTCGCTAACCTTTTACATTATTCTTTTTAACAATTATCGGGATGCTTTATTCTTTTAAGGTTTAGCGATTCCTAACTGGGTTGTGGGGTCTCCCCCCCCCTTTTCGTCGGTGCGGACTTACTTTTTTCCGCTCGGGAAGCGCAAGTGTGCGCGAGTTTTTCTACGGCGCTTTTCTTTCGTCGGTGAGTTGGTTTTTCTTCTATTTTTAAGTTACTAAGGTGAATGGTGAGGAAACCTTCGTCTTAACTAAACATAAGCCCCAAACCAAATATAATGAAAGCAAAATAAAAGTAAAATAAAAATAAAGCTCAGACTTGGTTCCTTACAATTTGAACTGAAAGTTCTAATTAGCATTCTTACAGTGTTGTTTAAAACAGTTGAAATGTGATTTTGAATGAGAACAGCTACATATTTTAACTGAACATTAAACATAAAATATATGTATACAATAATAAAAAATTTAATTTAGAGACAAATACATTGTAAAATGAACCCAATATAACAAAATAAAGTACATGGCTCATCCATCAGTGATCCAGGAAATGCTTTCAAATTTGGCTCTTTTGAATATTGAAAGTTATATGATTGTAAAGTACTATATTATTTTTCCAACTTTCCCCAACGATTATCGACACGACTGTGTGCCGGAAATAGCCGTTACCTAACGGGTACTTTACGCGGATTTGCGTTAGTGTGCCAGGCCTGGACTTTAAGTGTGCACCAAATTAAATGACAAAGTTTGTCAATAACAAATCAAATATTTAATAAATATTCTAGTAATAAACTATATACAATATTTAGTATAAATCATGTAACAATTTATTCAATGAAAATCAATAAGAATCAATCCAACAAAACTCAAATCAATCTATTTTCTAACTTAACTAGTAGCTCGGGACGCCCCCTAGTGGGCGTTCTTTACAAATTTCCATGAGGCACAGTTCCTTTGACTTTTTTGTTCCTATCAATATGCTCTACAGCTCTGTTAAAGTCTGAATGGTAAGATTAACCCTCCGAATGAAGAGGTGGCGACCCCCCCCCAAACCGTAGACCCCTGTACTAACAATAAAGTCAAAGGAACCATACCCCTACTCGCGACCCTTCGAGAGATATAAGCCCCTGAAATAATAAATTCCTATTACAAATATACTGAATTATTTATATTGTTATATTGACCAAATAATAATTTATTGGCCAAATGAATAATAAAAATTTATATTGTTAATTTAAATAAGAATTAAAATTGTTAATTTGAATGTTTGAAATATGACACGCGATAGGGGGCGCCTCTAGTGTCCGTTATCAAATGGTTACGGGACAGACAGACGGATACCCGTTGAATGGATTATATATATAGATTCTATTCCCCTTTGGAATTCGACAAAATTTCAGACTTAACTTATATACAATAATTCTTATGAATTAAAGATCCTAAGCGTCACCTCAATATACTAGGAACCTTTTTCCTCAACTCTCGAGACTTTCTCTAAGCGTCAATCCACAAATCAAATAACTTAAAAATTGCCTTGGAACTAATTTATCTTATTGGACACCTCTCTTTCGTTTGCTGTTACAAAGCTCACCATGCTCATTGCTAACAGAAGCTCACCTCGTCCATCTTCACTTGTGAGGTGACGTCACAATTCTGAGTGCAATCACTCCTCTCATTTACTATTACACTTATTTACACTTATTTGCTAACAATAAACTTTTTCTATTTGTCTGGCAGCCTATTTTCCAACAATACTCGCTAACCTTTTACATTATTCTTTTTGACAATTTTCAGGATGTCTTTATTCTTTAAGGTTTAGCAAGGTCATAAGTTATGCTTGTGGGGTCTTCCCTCCTTTTTTCGGTGCGGACTTACTTTTTTCCCGCTCGGGAGTGCAAGTGTGCGCAAGTTTTTCCTACGGCGCTTTTCCCTCATCGGTGAGTTAGTTTCTCTTCTATTTTTAAGTTTCTAAGGAGAATGGTGAGGAAACCTTCGTCCTAACAAAACATAAGCCCCAAACAAAAATATAGTAAAAAGCAAAAATAAAAGTAAATAAAAATAATGTTCAGACTTGGTTCCTTACATGATCAAGCACAATCTGACAATACAACAGGTGCTTGATATTTTCACCAAAAGAATCAAAAATTCAGAATAATTTAGATGCATAGGTCTCATTTCTTTCTCATTATTTAGACCAAGGTCTCATGAGCTGTAAAAGGCATTTTTGGTGGTCAGATATAAAAGATACAGTCAAGATTAATCTTAAGATTGTTTTATTTCTGAATAACAACAGATATAAATCAGTGGGAAATTTGTAACTGCTTTTTTAAAAGAATTTTATCAAAATTGTAGATAAATTTTGTGGCACCCAATACTAAAATCTCCTCTAGATATTCATTGTACAATGATGCTTAACAATTTGATTTTTTATATTTCATTTTCTAAAAGGTTTATTTGTAAAGTTACATACAAGCAATAGTAAAAAATATCCACTGTGCAAACTTCTTAAGATCGGGCAGAGATTTGTAAAAATGTAATAAACTTTTTTCTTTCAATAGGTTTTTATAAAAATCATTTACATAATTAAAGCCTGTTTATTTTAGTTGAGTTTTCGAAAGTATTTGTACTTTGAACAAGTTTGAATGTTGATGATGAAATATAGTGCAAAAAAACTGTATGAGCTAACATATTTATCTAGCATAAATATGCTTTGGGCTATATTTGGCTTGTGGGTCATAGATTGGAGACACCTGATTTAGATCTAAGACATGTCATGTTTCTTTCAATAAATTACAACTTATCTCTTATTTAAGATATATATTATTACTTATTCTAATGTTCCTACAATATATTTCACTTCAATGGAAGAAGAAAGCATGAACTATTGAACTACTGGCAACAAAAAGACCTTCCAATAAAATTCACAATTCTCAAATAGAAGAGGCTTTGATCTCCCCGGAAGAATTGTCTAGTTATGTTGCTGGCAGCAAATGAACTGTATGGTTATCTCATAAATTAATTAATCTGGAAACAAGGATTGGGCAAAGTAGTATAATTATTGTCAGTGCATCTGCATGGTAAGCAGAGGCTGAGTTCAAATCTTTTCTTCCAGAATAGCCTAAATTACTTAATTTAATTATTATTAATTATATTTACTTACTTAAATTACCTTCATATTTAATTACTTAAACATAATATAAGATGGCTGTTTAACCTCCTATCTTTAGTCCAAATTATGTATTATCTATGAAATTAATTAGCCAAGTTCTATTACTTTGCTAATTAATTTCATAACTAACTCAGTTTTATTGTTTAATCATTAGAATATTTTGGGCTTGGTTGTCAATATGTGTTTTTTTAAGCCAACATATACCAGTTACCCAACCTATGCATTCACTCAAATTTTTAAATTTTTAGATTATTCTGAGGAGGAAGAAACCTTACTTTAAAAGTACTAAATTATATAAAAGATAAGAGTTTTGGAAAGAAGACTATGTTATTTTTAAGAATTAAAATTATTAGGAGCAATAACATTGAATTAAAATAATACAATATTACTTATGAAACATTTTTTCTAAAAAAGTTTGATGTTTTAATTGTTATAAAATTTTGTTATTGATGTGGAGATAATTCTATTTTTATCATATTTACAATATATTAACATTAAATTTACTGTATTTGGTGTCATGTAATAGTTTAACATATTAATATTTTATTTAGTAAACTATTGCTGTCAAAACATATTTTTAAACTCTAGAATTTAATTAATATTATTGTTTTATTATTCATATAGATATGATCCAGAAGTCCCAGTAACCACAGAAGATAATTCGTCAATTTCAGTATCAACTGTAGTTACGGCAGCACATGGACGTAAAGAAGTACGGACTTCAGCCCATTTGTCTCAAGGATTTGCAAGTTGTTTTGGATTACCTTATCAGGTATTTTTGTTTTTTTCTTGTGGTTTTATTATGTATGATAAAGTAAAAATTGGGCAATCTTTGTTATGTATCGAATTTAAATTATTAAGTAATATTAAATGGGCATTATAACAATAGTAATAAAATTGAAAGCTTTAAATTTTGTTTAAAAATAATTATAACTTATAAAGCTTGGAAAGAGATTAAAATTATAAGTAATAAATAGTTTGTTAAATCAATAGTAGGAATATTTAATTGACAGCATAAAAATTAGTAAAATTAAATGTATATTTCAACAAAATAATTGTATGGTTGTTTTGTTATTGAATATATAATGCGAATGTGTGTTTTTTTTAATTAAAATTTGTTTGTATAATTATCTGGAAAAATTAAATAAATATAGTTATAGAATTATTCAATATATTTGTTTGTTTCCAAATTTAGTTTTCAATTAAACTGTAAATAATCAAATTTAAAAATGGAGACATTAATCAACAGAAGAAAAAAACAATGCTAAGTAGCTAAATGCAAAATCTTATTACATTGAATATGAATTAAAGAAAAATGCAAAACAAATTCAAATGAAAACTTTTTTAACATTTTAAATCTGATTTAAAATGTGTAAATTTGGATTCAAATGAACACAAAACATAAATATAAATATGAATACACCTGAATTCTACTTGCCGAGTTTTTTTCTCTTTATTCAAACGTTTTCGGCCTATTTGAATAGGCCATCCTCAGGCTTTTCTGAACACAAAACAGATTTAAACAAAATAATCTTTGTTAAAATACGTTTTGCATTATTTAATTTTTAAAATTAATCTTTGATCTGAAGATTAGAAATTTGGATATCAAAATACACTTAACACCAGATAATAAATAACTTTTATAATTCATTTAGCATTTTTTTTTGTCTTTTGATAAAATATGAAATTGATTAATATGGAGTGAGACATAAATGTATTCAAGAAAGAAATTTGCAAATTATTAATATATGAATTTGTTATGTGATGATAAATTCATAAATTTGTAATATAAATTATATTACAACATACTATCAAAACAAAATTGTTTTTTAACATATTATATTATAAAGAAATAATTCTTTTGCAATGGTTCTCTGGTCTGTGAAGATTTATAATAGAATGATTTAAATTAATAATGGTGCTTTTATGTATTAATACCACCATACTCAACCTGCGGCCCGCTGAGCTGCGGAAAATAATTACGTTGACTTCTGGAAATAATTACCACTTCTGGAAAGTAGTGCCCGATCAATATAAGACTAAAAAAAGTGCTCAAATTTTACTTACATTGTTCGCATCAATATATCTATGTGTAATGTCATACTCAAAAATGAAATATGCAAAGAACATATATAGAAACTGGCTTACTGATTCACACCTGGATGCCGTTTTACGAGTAGCATGCAGCAGTTACAAGCTTGATTTAAATGAATTGATGGCCAGATGGACAAGTGGTCAAGTGGCAGCCTACTGCTCTAGGGGACTCGGAATCGGATCCGGTCGGGTCAGGGAATCCCCCCAGGAATTTTTCAGGGCGTGGTCTGTTCGGATATGTCAGGCTCCGTCCCTTACCACCCGGCCACACCATTGCGGACCTGGCCGAACCCATAATGGGCCTCTTAATTAGTCCCTGCTGGCACTAAGAGGCCCTCTTAGGCCCTCTTAGTGCCAGCAGGGTGAAAAGAGTATAAAAAAAATTTTAATGAAATTGTGAAAAAATGTTCGCAATATCAACAATCACACTAAATTTCTAGGGTAAGTGAGAAATTAAGTAAGTTTTTTATTATAATTGTTATGTTGTGGCCCATGTGTAATAGCTATCATGTGTATGTGGCCTGAGAAAACAAAAGGTTGAGTATGGTGGTATTAATACATTCAAATACTGTAATTAACTAATTTTTTACATTTCATAAAATGGATACTAAATTTACATTGTGTGTTATCTGCAAAATGACCTGTAGAATGAAGAGTTTAAAAATACAGTAATTGATATAGATTTAATTCACATTGAAAATTATAATATTAATATATAATTAATCAATTTGCTGACTCATCATAAATGTTTACACAAGGGGTTATGTATTATTTCTCCTTGATTTTTAAATTATTTTGAGTTGAGTCAAAAAATTTAATCCACAATCTACAAATATTTAGGATTATAAAAGGACAAACTCACAGAACATGCTTAGAGAAAACAAAGACTTACAAAAGCATACAATAACAGATTAAACTCAGTATTAACAACACAGCTGAATGCAAAAGAACATTAAAAGCAATAAATACGTAGGTTGTCTCAATATTTATATTTATTTGAAATTATATATTGTACACACACAGAGCTAGAATAACTTTAACAAAGCATAACAAACACCACTTTGAATCCTTCATAAAAAGGCTAATTTTTTCTTGTAATGAGGAAAGATAATGTCTCAGAGATATAATAAATCTTCACTACAAATAAATCAAGATGCTGTGAGAGTTTGTTATGTAATTTATAAAGAAGCATGACAATTACAAAAAAATGAACTCTTGCAGGCAAAATTAATAAAGAGAAACAAAACACCTTTTTTTGTTGAGAAATAAATGTAATTGTAAAAAACAAATGTTTTCAGCCCAATTAATAGGCCATCATCAGGTCGCAAACGAAAATGGAACATAAATGTTCCATGAATAGAACATAAAATTTTAAATCAAAAATTATTTTACAAGAGAAAAATAATGGAAGAATATATAAAAATTAAAATAAAACAAATAATAAAACAAAAATAACATACATCTTCAATGTACTAATTCTGGTCCAAGTTTCTAGTAAATTTCTTAACCAAGTACTTCCATGCCGAAGGCAGGCTCTCGGCATCCCTTGCATTTAAACAGCCTTTTCCTATCCTACTTCTGTATATTTCAATCTTCTCCATTGTTATTGCTAAAGTTGGGGAAGACAGAGGTTTGATGATTGTTGCCTCGTCCCATTTTACCTCAGAGCCTTGGGCTTGCGTCATTTGGGACAAAATCGTTGAATTAGACGCTTTTCTTATGGCATATCTTTGTTCTTTGAGCCTTACTCCCAAGTTTCTTGTGGTGACGCCGATATAATCTTTTTTAACATCCAGTTGTAAGTTCTCATAAGGTATCTTATACACCCCTGCTTTCTCCTCTGCTTTGATACTATCCTTATCATTTCTCAAGATCTTATACAAATTAGGGGCTCTTCTTAAAACCATTCTTGATTCCTTTCAACTAGCAATTTCTTTCATAACACTATTCATACTACTATTATAAGTAAATTTAGTGAGCCTAGTACGAACATTACTTAAGGTTCTTTTTACTATGCCCCTTTCATACTTCTTAATCATTCCTACAATTATACTTTTTCTGTAACCCAGGGTCCAGGCCACCTGCATTACTCTATCAATCTCCTTCGCCCTGTCACCGACTCGGTCACAATATAAATAAGCTCTCCTTATTAACGCTCGGAAGGCTGCCATCTTATACCGATATGGATACATGGACTGCGAGGGTATATACAATGGGGTGTGTTTAGATTTAATATAAACGCTTGTGGACAAATGCCATTTTATAAACCGGATATTAATGTCTAAGAAGTGCACATTCAAGAAACTCTTTTGTTCTAATCTCAATTTAAGTCCATCATTGTTATCATTGATTCTACTCATAAATTCATGCACCCTACTGTTATTTCTTCACAAGATAAGGATGTCATCCACATACCCGCTGAAATATATGATATCTTCTTTGAAACTATGAAGAACCCTTCTTTCTAGTCTTCTAACAACTAATTCACAAAGGATTCCTGAGAGGGGACTTCCCATCGTAACCCCTCTTTTTTGTCTGTAGACCTGACTACAGAAGGTGAAGCACGACTCATAGCATATTAGGTTAGCCAATTCTTCTAGCTCGTGGGTGTAAAGAAGCAATTGGGAGATCTTTACGTACACGAAATCTAATAAAGCATCCACGCAAGACTCAATCATTACTGAAGGATACATGCTCTCATAATCTAAAACTGTCGCTACTTCATCTTCCATTAAAGATATACCTTGTATTTCCTTGACAAAAACAAGAGGATCCTGTGCCACTAGACTATCAGCATCAAGGTGTGATGATAAATACTTGTGCAACCTTTTTTCTAATATAAAGATGGGTCCTCTGCATTTCTCTACAACTGGCCTTAACTCCATTCCGGTCTTGTGGGTCTTAGCGAAAGCAAACAATCTTGGAGTTCCGGGCCTTAGGTTCTGGCATTTCTTGAGAAAAGGTAAAACAGCAGAAATTCCCGAGCGTTCCAGCTTCCTGACCCGTCTGTCCAAAGATCCAATTACCTTGTTGCCAACAATTTCACATTTTGTCTTTTTGATTGAACTCCTTGTTATAAGTAAGCCTTCTCATGATAACCAAATGATTAGTCTTGTCTGCTCTTGTCATCACAAGATCACTTATCTTTAACCACTCCTTCATGAGCCAAATGTCCCTTCTAGTAATATCCTCTGTCCTGTTCTTCGGCCGGTTGTTAATTACCACTTTTCATCTAAAGTATTCCTTTTCTAATGCATCCAGTCCAACTATCCCTCTCTCAATATCTTGTACTGATGTTTCCCAACCACCTACCTCAGTGGGGACAAAGTTCGGGCTTTTCTCCAGAACCTGCTTGATTTTCTTTGGTATTTTTATCTGGTCCCATATGTAGAAGGTACTAAGGTTCTTTCTATTATCTCTTCTTACTTACTTGTCCATTTCAACTTTTTCACATATTGCTTATTGGAATTCCTACAAACAACTTCTGCCAACTTCACCACCCTTTTATTGATATCAATCAGTTTGGCTGGATCATCATTATATATGGTGTCTTCCAAGCAAATAAGCTCACTCAATATCCCATACTTTTTGTTTACATTATATTTATTTCTCGGCAAAAAAAGATGTTTTGTTTCTCTTTATTTAATTGCTGAGCACTTTTGATATTGTGGCAAAATT